CCCCTGAGAGGGTGGCCTGTTCCACTTGTGTGCAGCCTAGTTCTCAGTTGTCGCTTAAATCCACCCATCTGAGAATCGGAGGCTTCTTGTCACAGAAGAACAAATGACATCTTCAAAGCAAACAAAGGCAACAGAACGCGCTGTCCACGGGTTCTGACGGGCTTCCTAAAACTGCCCCTCTCCCAGCACCACTCCCCCTACATTAAACAGACTCACTTTCAAGTAAGAGAAACAGCCCTTGCTGGTGTGGCTCAGTGGACTGAGCGCCAGCCTGCGAACCCAGCAAACCAAAGGGTCGCTGGTGCAGATTCCCAGGCTGGGCACATGCCTGGGTTGTGGGCCAGGTCCCCAGTAGGGGGCGTGCAAGAGGCACCCACACATTGATGTTTCTCTCCCTTTCTCCCTCTCTTCTCCTCTCTAAAAATAAATAAATAAAATCTTAAAAAAAAAAGAAGAGAAATAATTAGTCTCTAGGTGTCTACTCTCGGATTTGCCGATTAGAAAGAAAAGATGATTTTAATATCCTTTTTCCATTAAAAATAAATGAAGTTACATTGCTGATGATTTGGAAAAGAGAGTAAAGAAAAAATGATTATCATCGGCTACCTTAAGACAACTATCACTAACCACTGTATTTATTTCTTTTTGGTTATTTGGATTTTTTTCACTACCATCAGTAGCATTTATATTTATTTCTTTTTGGTCCTTGATTTGGATCTTTTGCCTAACTTTAATGTTACTGTAAGTTATGGAATGGGTATCTTCCCATCAGCCCAGCATACAGAACAATCACGTCACCATAAAAAAGGGAATAAGCATGGTCTCACTGTCACCATCCAGTCTGACTTAGGGGAGGCAGACCCTTAGCTACACTTCCCGGGCATCACTGTCTAACTTCCCTGACAACCCGGGCGGTCACTGCTTGTGCGTTTCTGAGTGTACGGACGAGAAAACCGAGGCTCTGAGAGGGCAAACAGCTTGCCCAGGGCCGCGCGGCAAGAGCTCAGGCTCAAACCCGGCCTGTCCGGCTCCAGCACCTGTTCCTCGTGTGTGCTCAAGACCCTGGAGTGCAGCGGTCCTCGGCGTCAAGGGCGTCACCACTCACACGGGTCTCCGCTCCTTCGGAGTGGCCTTTCTGCTCACCTCCTGGACATCGGGGCCCTGGACTGGCGCCTGTCCTTTGTCCCAGCCTGCACAAGGACAGGTCTCTGTCTATCGATCACCCGGCAGCACTGATTGATGACTTGCTCGTTGCATCTCTGATCTACCTCATGTATGTCAACTTTTCCCATCTGGCACATTTTTGAGCTCTTTATTTTACGCTGAGCCCTTTGAAAGAGGCTGCGCACAAGGCATTCTAATTCTCCCTTCTCTCCCCGTGTCCCTCTCCCTCGCTCCCCTTCCCTGCCTACAACACACTGCAGTTCATCTCTAAGGACAGTTCATGGTGGCAGCATCCACCACAGCGGGGAGAGATGCCCCGTGAAAAACCCTACCCTACCCTTGAAGAGCCTGAGGCTCTCCCAACATATGGATTCTACTTGGGATCACTTTCCTCGTCTGTTGCCGCCCCACACAGTTGTAAGTTCGCTGTGAGATCCCATTTTCTTACCCCTAAAATGTCCATCAGAAATCCTTCCGGGTTCCTATTTTCAACCAATACTATAGGCTTCCTATGGGGCAATCCATAACATAATCCAAATACTTTAACAAGTATAGCTAACAGCACTTTGAGAATTATTGCAATTATTGATGGCTTGATATGGATGACTACAATAGAACTCCTTTTGCTTGCTTCATAATTACAATAACATTCTATTTCTTTCTTTTAGCTTTAATACTCTAATTTGGATAATTATCCGACAGAGTTCCTGGCAAGCATCTGGAAGATATCAATTTGAAAGAACCAAATACTAATTCTCTTGTTATAAGAGAATAATAAAAAATTTTTTAAGTTGCCAAATTATATTCATGTTGAAAAACATCCAACACACATGTCCCCTCTGCTATAAAAACGTCTGTCCTTATTAGACATAATCCATATTCCAAGAGGTTTACAAATTGCGAATTCCACATAGAAATGTAGTTTCTACCCCTCTGCATAACCCCTGAGCATCATACAGCTAATTCTGCCCTTGGGGCATCATTCACATTTAATCTATCACTGATCTGCTGGGAGAAAAACTGTTTCTCCTTAGGACATGTCCAAAAATAAAAAGGACTAGTGTGCATTACAGAATGTAGTCCTCCTGCCCGTGACGGGAGGAGGGGTTTTGAAGAGAAGTCACAGACCGAGTCCATTACTGTTCCACACCCAGGGAGGACAAGACCACGCGTTACTGGAAAGGCAAAACCTGGAACTGAGTATGTGCATTCTTCTCTTTCAAGTAACAAATTGTCTTTCTTATCCTGTACTATTCGTTTAGGAGAAATGGAAAGGTATCTCTCTCCCTGGCTCTTTCTCGTTAACTCTCCTCACACTTCCCAAGTGGGAAGAGATTCTCAGTCCACAGGCTAAGTAAGAACCCAAGAAGCATCCACGAACAAAGGGTGCTCTCTCCTCACAGAGGCCATCTGACGAGGGGAAGAGGAGTCCTCTTTTCTTCTGCTTTTATCCCCCATCAAGATGGCATTACCCCCCCAAGGATCCTAAGCTATTTGTTGACCGTGAACTTTAGACCCTGTGCTCTGTCTGCTCTGACAAGCCCACAAAGCTAAGTGGACCTCAGGGATACAAGCTATGACAGACAATAGCTACTACACCTCGAGTTCACTTGTAGAGGTACATGCAGTCATCAAATTATGTGACTCTCTAATCTCTGACGGTTGAGCTCAAGTAATCATGAATTTTACCTATAACACTAAGTGCTCTGGATACAGTTTAGCTGGACAGTGCTTTCCCCCAAACATGGTCCCAGTCTATTCCCAGGAGGGGTTCTTGCTGAGTGCCTATGAACTGATTCAAAATCTGAAATTCGGAATAAGAAGCCAGATGCAGTCAAGGCCTGGCTGAAGGTGTTTCAGACTGTGAATCAGCTTGTAGGCACCTAGGAAAGTCAGAGCATCCTGGGGGAAGAATGAGTCCATGTTTCTGAAACCACGCCATCCGGGTGAACCTCGCTATCTAGATGAACCACACCATCCGGATGAACCTCACCATCCGGATGCACCACATCCATGGTGCTCGGCGTTACAGAAGAACGCCAGGCAGCGGCGAACTGAACCAGCAGAGGTTACACGATCACGCGGCTCGGTGACCACCTGCGCCTGGAAAGTGGGCTGCACCGCAGCAGCTGTTCTCTGTCACAGCGAGCAGGGACGCCGCACGGGTCTGATCCCAGAGCACGACGACGACTTCTAAACGTCTCTACATCCCTCTAAGGAAACAGGAGGGGCACAGAGGCCAGTGCTCTGCTCCCTGCTCGGCCACTGGCTGGACGGGGGATTTCTAGGCCTGGTGTTTTGCCTCTGGAAATGACAGGCATGAATTAGACCATTTCCCAAACTGCTCTGCATTCTCAAGTTTTATTCTAACTGTCGCCGAGAATCAGAGCAGGGCGTAAGAGGGTCTAACAAGTGACAAGAACGGTCTCCGGGACCCACGCACCACACCCCCAGCGGAAAGGGCAAACACACGAGGAGAACGGCATCTCCCCCCGCAGGAGGCCCGCTCGGGCAGAGCCGCACAGGTGAGGCGACGACGGGAAAGGCTGTTGAGGGGGATTACGCACATCACCTCTCCCGGGACCCCCAAAGGCAACGAGCGTGTTTTATAACAAACACGGCTCGTCGCGGCCTCGCTTGGGATGCACGCTTCTTGGACTGACTTCTTGAGATCTCCAAGTGTGGTACACAAATAATACTAGTTGTGCATCTCTTGCAATCTGGAAAACAGCAAAACCCTCTCTCCAGGCAAGACAGCATATGGAGAGAAGGGCAGGCGCCTGTTCAGGAAGCAGTTGGCCAAGTGGATTAAGATACGCCTTCTCGGTGGAGGGGAAAAAATGTTCAGTTGTACCTGAACCTGCCTTTTGGAGGCAAAGATGTTCTTGGTTATTATCTGTTCCAACTCCTTATCGCCGACTTAAAATGAAAACGCTCGTCCTTCAGGCAAAGTGATATATGTGCTCATACATACGCATATTATTATAAATATGCTAATAACATTTTGCATTAACACAGGAGATGAAAGTGCTCTACAGAAGAGGCTTGAGCTCATTAATCCTCAGGATATCCGTGAAATAGCTAGGGGAAAGGGACAGAGTGCCAGCTTCTTCAAACGGCAGAGAACGGCACGGTCTGAGCAGTCTGCTCGAACCGGCCTCGTGGACCTCCGGCCGGGCCTGCGAGGAGGCAGGCGCTGCCTTCGGGCTGGACCGGCTCACACTCCGCCCCCCCACCCCCCCTCCGCTCCCCTCGTTGGAAGACCGGAGACCCCGGGGCAGCAAGCAGTTCAGCGCTCTACGCTGGGCTCGCCCGGTCTGCCCTGGACCCCCTCCTGGCGCTGGGCGCCCGTGGCCAGGCGGACCACCCAGAAAGCTGAGCGGCTGCTTGCTCCCGGACTCAGGCAGGTTCTCCAAGGTGTCCCTTCCTGAGTCCTGCTCCGCTCCTCACAGTGAGTCCACATCCTTCACACCGGCATCTCGGCTCGCCCCTTGTTTTCTACCCCGCTCTGACGGGGTAGCCACCTTCCCACCTCACCGCTTCGGGTTTTCGCTTGAGGGCTTCGTGAAGATGCAGCCCCTAAAACGCCCCGCCTCCCGCGCCGCACCCGCCGACGCGAGGCACCGCGTGCCACCTGGACTTTAAGAATGCCACCGGTCACGGCCTCAGCCTCGGGCTCTTCCCCAGGAGCGAGATGGGACGAATCTAAAGGCGCTGCATCAGTGACAACAACCCCCGGCCCCCCTGCGATCAGGGGCTCCTGAAGGTTTCCAGAACCACCTCAGACAGCCCCCCGCCGCCGCCCCGCCAGGGGCCGTGCCGCAAGAGGGAGTTACCATGAGGGCGGTGTAGGTGTAGGGGTAGTGGTAGGCCAGGTAGCAGACGTCCTCGTTGTGCGGGAAGGTGACGGCAAAGGTGAGGGTATAAAAACACTTCCTAGACGCTCCCCCCGTGACGGCTGCGCTCTCGCGATAATGATTCCTAAAGGAGAGAGGAGAAGAGAGGAGACTGAGGGAGGCCTGCGGGAACCAGCCCTTTAGGGTGCTAGGTGCCATAGATCTCTCATGTCGTAGGACAGCAGAACGGCCACTCAGCACACTCAGTGGGCGAAGCTCAGAAACAGAGAGATGCGCAGGGAGCTCGCTGCCAGGCCACGGGCCGAGCCAGCCATGTCTGGGCTGGTCCGCCGGCCCCCTGCCTGTGGCCATCCTGCCGCGGCCCTGCCCTTGCGGTGTCAGCAAAAAGGGGGTTACGGAGTCACCGAGACACAAAATAGAGGAAAACATGAACTCTGCTTTTCCCCACTCTGTTTTTCCTGGGATTCCACTGTGGACACACACTTTTCACCCGAATCTGGGTTTCCCCCACTCTGACCTCTCCCCAGATTGTACGGAGCACAGCTCTTCCCTTCCCTTCCACCTGCCAAGCGCCGTACTCGCTGCCCCTACGAAATACTGCGCTCCAGCTCAGGCTGAACACGTGTCGTTTTCTGCTAACACTGCCACAGCCCGCTGTCCACAGCCAGCAAGGGGTCAATTCGGGGGCTCGAGCCCGGATCTGCTGGTCTGCAAAGCCTCTGTTCTTTCCACTACACAGTCCTCTCCTCCCGAAGGAGGGCATTCCTCACCCCAAATGCGGTTCGGGCTTCTTCTAGCTTGAGAACGCGTGTTTTCCTTTGTCAAAGATGAAGAGCCAATTTTGAGCCTTCGGAGAACAATAGCAAAGCAAACGGCCCCCAGAAGTGCATTTCGGAGCCGTATTTCCCCTCACGTGCCGCCAGACGCACGCTGGCCTTGCCTGTGGATGCTGAGACAGCTGTGCGGGCCTCCCTGAGAAATGCTATCGCCCAGGCCGCGCTGCACAGTGCAAAATGCGCCCAGACGCCAGAAGATGCACAGTTTCACCTTGCAGCAGTTATGTGGTTGGTGTACTTGTCCGTTGTGCTTTGGGGTTTTCTTGGGTGAAAGGATGGGGACAGGGAAACAACAGGTAATTATTCTGGGCATGCTTGCAGAATACAAAAAACTCGGATCATTATTTTCTGCCTTTTTACTGCCTTCATGCCCCCTTCCACCAAAGGGGGGAAAAAAACTAGAAAAGAGAAAAATCAAGCAAGCGAGAAAGGGTGAAATAGGAAATCTCTGGTCTTGTTTCTTGTGGTTCTTGTGCGTGCGTGTGTGTGTGTGTGTGTGTGTGTGTGTATGTGTAACACTAGAAATGGGAGTGAGAGAAGTTGGGAGTCCCACGGGCTATGGCCTGACACACTTCCCCTGCCTCAGTTTCTCCCAACATGGCACCCGGGAGCCTTGGTCAGTCTAAGGAAAGGAGGGCCCCCTGACCACGCAAGGCCCGAGTACCCACCAGCTATGCAGCACCACGTTACCGGGGCCGTTTCCTCTGGACGACAGACAGGGCAGACGCCCCCTGAGCCTTGATCCCTAACTGAGTCTCCTTTCCCCAAAGTTCTGCAGTGTCTCCCGGCTGAAAACCCAGGTTATGAGAAACTGCTCCGTGAGGCGGGTGTTCGTTTGCTCAGAGAGCACGCAGGCCGCACGGGCCCTGCCTCCTGGCCTCTTTCCCACCTCCCTCGCAGCGGCCCCGCCGCAAACGGACGTTCCTCGCCCCGAGCTGCAGGAGTCGGCGGCGCCTTTCCACAAGGGAAGGGCCAAGTGCGGTGAGACGAGGCCGTCAAAACAGTCCGAGTCCTGACAACCCATCAAAATGCGGGGGAGAGTCCCTCACACACACACACACACCACACACAAAAAACCGTGAATGGGAAGGCACATACACACACACAAAACCGTGAATGAAAAGGCAAATACACACATCTCAGGCCTCACCATGCCCAGTTCCTGACCTCCAAACGACAAGAGGCTGTCCGCAGCTCTCCTTAAGACTAACCGAGGCCCCTGGTGGCCGGTGGGGGTGGTCTCGTTTGGCATGAGCCTTGCTTCTGTTTAGGTTTCCCACTGTGCCATCGCAACTACGCTGAAACCACAGGCACGTTCACCCGGAGCAAACTCAGCCTTCCCACAGCAGCCACGAGAAAGAGCAAGACGGGGGGAGGAAGCGAGGACGTGAGTGAAACCCCCATCACCGGGCTCCTTCTACCATTCAAACCCCACCTGGACCCCGGTGGGAGGAACAGTGCCGTGAGATGGGGAGAGAAATAAAATGGCATAATTCTTAGCTCTCAAGCTTCTGTGGGTCCAGGTCCTACTGATCTGAGGGAAGTATCAGGAATTCAAATGGTGGCTTTATTTTTTTTTCCTCTTTCAGGAAGCCTTCCCTGATAGCCACCTTTGTACATAATTCTTCTCACACTGTGTCTCACCCTCACTGCCAACCCTTTGTGGCAGGAATTATGGCTTCTCCTTTCTGCATCTTCATGCTTGGCAGAGGACCGGAACCCCGCAGCTGTTCAGTTCCAGTTGGCAGAGTTAAACAGACCTAAGACCCCAGGAGCAACAATTCAAAGCTTCTCATATTTTATTTCTAACCCCAATGACCTCCTTTGAAAGTATTATTACACACCTCTACAGACGGGGGAATTGAGGCTCATGGATGTTAAGTGTCTTCTTGAGCAACTCCTTACAACAGGCAACTTAGGAAGCAGGATTCGATGCCAGGTGGGCGTTTACTTCAAAACCAAGGCTTTTTTTTTTTAATCATATCACCTTGCTCTTAGGAATGGATAAAAGGACCAGAGGACTTCGGGCTGAACTCATCGTCAGAATTTGAAGTTTTGGTCTCCGTAAATCAGGGCTGCCTATAAAGGATAGAGTACTCCAGATAAGAGCCAGTGGAAACGACCCACGTCGCTGTAATTCTTCATGTCCTTGGTATCTGACGCCAGTGTGGTGTCGCTGCAGTTAATCACGACGGCTGACAGTGGTGAGCACCTCCTGCGCCCCAGACACTGCTCGAAGCTTTCCACGTGCTTTATCTCATTTCATTTACTTTTCAGAATCACTCCACATTATTATCCCCATTTTACAGATGTGGAGGCGGAGGCTGAGGCTGGGAGGGGCTGGAACAATTTGCTCAGGGTCACACCATTAATGAATGAATGGCAGAGGTTTGGTTCCAAGAACTCTCTCTCCTTCACCTGTTCTCCCAGGTGGACAAGCAGCGTGGTGACATCAAGGGTGCTCGTGGATTTGTCACATCCCAGGTCAGCCCTCCTGGGTCCGAGAGGAGGCTGGAGAGTCCAGCCACTCAACAGTTAAAGGCCACCCCCTTGCTTTTCTATTCCCTGAGCCATTCATCTTCAGAAGGACCTGCACGTTTGTAATCATAAAGCCTTCAATGAAGCAAGGAGCAAAGTACACACACATAGTTATAAACTCAATCTATTTCCATTTCTACTTAAAAACGTGCTGGGAAGTCATTTTTTCACATGTGTGTGCACAAAATGAGCACATGCTGGGATAGAGAGCCAACCAGAGGACCTCACAATGACGAAGGCTCCGCCTAACAAGGGTGTGTCATTTCATTCCCGTTTAACGGGATCTGACCAGGCAGAGCAGCCCGGCCGCCAGGCGGCCCGGGTCTGTGGCGATCCTGATGTCCTCCGTGACGCCCAGTCCCTCTCCCGAGGTCCTCGGGAGAAAGCCCAGCGGCAGAGCCCCAGTGTGACACTCATCTTCATGAGAGAGCTGTTCCCGCTCCTCTCGCCGGCGGAGATAAATGTCAGAAGAGATCAGCCGTTGCTTATTGTACAGCCCTCCGCGCCGGCCGCCCCCACCCTCCGCCCTTCAGCAGCAAAAGGACTTCAGCCCAGCGCTGGGAGAGCACCTGTGCGCACGCAGCAGAGGGCGAAGCTGACCGCAGGGGAGGAAGCGAGGCTGCCCCTGCCGATACGAGGGGCACGGAGAAATGATGCTGCCCACGAACCTCGCTCCCTCCTGAGGATCTCTTCTTATTTTCTGGCCTAGTGGTCTGCAGCGCGGGTGGGAAGGGGGTCCCTGAGAGGGGAAGGAGTCCTCGGGGGAGGGGCCAGAGGATCCACTGGGCACAGGGAGGGAGCAGTAGAACCTCTCTTCAGATTGATTCTGACCTAAGGGATAAGAAAGAGAGGAAGCCGTCTGGGGTTTAATCCGGGGGCGGACGAGGCCGCCCTCACTCAGTCTGAGTCAATGCCCTGTGATGAGTGATCACCAACCAGCCCGTCTGCGGTCCAGCAACCTTCCCCACTCCTCTCTGCTGCTGTCCGGGGCGGAGCAGGAAGGACACACCGCACTGGACCTCGGTGCTTTCTGCTCGTCGGAGAGTTCAGCACCGGCTGCGGCCCAGGAGGCCCGCTGAGGGAGGGGCCGGGGCGCTCACCAGCTCACTGCTTTCAGCTTCCGGGAAGGCACTTAAGTTTGCAGAAGCCTGCGTTAGTGGGTTCACAGACTATATCATGTGCGTTAAACTAAACCTCACAATACAAACAATTCATTGGTTTTTTTAAAAAAAAATTCTGCTTAGAAGCTGTAGCATGATGATAATATTAAATTTCAAGCAGAAATGACCAAGAAAATAGAAGAACAGATATGGTCTACCTCCTGCCCTTAATACTAGGCCCCTAAGAATTTTTGTGTGCATAGAAATAATCTAATTAGATCTGGGAAGTTAACCGCAATTTTTCAAAATTATCCAAAAGACTATGTACACGACACTTTTTGTGTTAAATCCTAAGTGTGCAGTATGCCCTAAGTTATCAGTAGAGTAAAATCACAGCTGACCCTTGAACGAACGGCACGGGTTTGAGTGTGCGGGGCCACTTCTCCGTGGTCTTTTCCATAAATGCTGCAAGGGCATTTTCTCTTCCTTATTACTTTCTTAATTTCCCAGCTTATCTTACTGTAAGAATACAGTATAAAACACATACAACATATAAAATAAGTCTAAATTGACTGTTTATGCTATCGATAAAGCTTCCAGTCAACAGTCGGCTATTACTAGTTAAGTGTTGGGGGTGTCAGAGACCATGCGTGGATGTTGACTGTGTGGGGGGTGGAGGGATCCGTGCCCCTAACCCCGTGCCCAAGGGGAAACTGAGAAAATCAGGCAGACAGTGAAAATTATCATTTGTTTCATCTTGTTCTCTTCACTCAAAATTCTTAACTTGCTGCATGTTTTCTAATGCACATGTTAGTGCAGTAATGTGTATGTGATTGATTAGAAATGATTTTATGAACAAATCTATACTGGAAGCACATGCATAAATACATCTTATCGAAGGAGCTGGGGGACCACGTTCTAACTGATGACGAGAGGACCCACAAGCCCACCTCCTCAGCCGATCTTCAGTGCCGTCACTCTGTGCGGTAGTAACTAAACACTGCATTACTTCCGCGTGCCTTTTTGTCTTTGACCCTTTCCTATCATATGCTCGGGCACTATGACTCGTGATTCTCTCCACAATGAGCCCCCTGTCACCCCTTTAAAACATGCCACTGAGTCTGAGAATTTAATAGCAGGACAGAAATAGAACTTCTGAGTTCCTGAGGACCTACGGAAGACAAAGAAATGAGGAGGTAAAGGTCTCCCAACTAACACACTAGGCAGAATAAAGACAGAGATGAAGCAAAAAAAAAATCTTCTACAAGCAGGCGGACCCGAAGACTACGATGTGCAGAAGGGGAGAAGTGTACTGTATGCCGCAAGGCGTTCTCTGCTAGGGAGCAGCGTTCTGTCTTGTTGAACACAGATACACCCATCCATCCTGTTTCCAGATCACATTATTGGAAATATGTTAACATAACGTGGTGAATAATTGTCAAACAAACTACACTGTGATGTAGCAATCATCCACTTATCTCTGTTGTATTCATGACTGGAAAATGAAAAATGAATTACATTATACATTCATGGTTTTCATGTTACCTCTCTAATCACATAACAATGGTCTTGTTAATGAATCTAAAAGCTATTAACATTAACGCCGGCTTTCCTCAGGCCAAGGCTGTGCTCTTGGATGTGTGGCTTCCTCCTTCTCTTGGCAGATAGATAGATGCTCAGTCCCCTGAAGCCTGCTCCTTATTCCCCACCCACAAATCGGCAGCTCCAGCAAGAGCTGTGCGCCTGGGAGAGGATGCTGGATGTTGTATTTGTTCGATCTCACACCCAAACTAAGCTCCAATCCAGGCTGGCAGCAAGCTGGGTCCTGCATGCTTATTAAGGGCTACCATTATCAGAGAACACTAAAACCTGTTCTTGACACATGCAGGTCCAAATGTAGGCTTTTATTATGTTTCCCTGCAGCTGGGAAAAATATTACCCTGAGGTGATTTTTAGTCTACATAACTCTTTGGACCACAGAAAGATCCTGAGAGTGTCTAGGTGGGTGGGCCAGAGAGGAGTTGCTGTACGGGTGAACGGAAAAGCCAACCCAATGACCACATTTTGCTCTTGTTCTAAAGAGTATAATGGACATACTACCCGGGCCCATGTCCTCACACATCAAGGACTGGAGACGCCAACTCTCGGATCAGGAGCTGTTAGTTGGCCCAGCTCCGTGGTCTGCAGACTACTGATATGTCTGTGGAGATTTCTGATCGAGCAACAAGACCCGCCCTCTCCGGTCCTCACGGTCTCACAGGCCAAAGGGCCTGAGTGTGTAACACACTCTGTCTTCTGGGCACTGACAGCAACCTAAACTCTAGAATGTCTGGTTACAGTTTTTAAGGGGCCTCCTATAATCTCAGAAAAAGGTAAGACTTATTTTATCCAAGAAAGTAAGTACTAGCCTGTCAATTTTTATTTTTAAAAAATAGCAATGAGAATTAATTATATATTTTCTACCTGTTCTAATAATGCCTATCCTTTTTTTTTCACATGAATTTGTATTTTATTTTCCCACTCCCAAATGCATAAATAAGCAAGTCATGGGGTCTCGAATTCTTTTATCAAAAGCCATAGATAATTTAAAATCCATTACAATTTTTTACAAGATAAACTGATGAAAACGGTTAGTGGTCAAGGGCTGAAGATGAATTTTGAAGACCTACTTCTTTTGTTTCTTCTAAAAAAAATCATCTTTCTATGTATTTGTCACCCATTCCCTCTCATCTACTTTGTAAAACTGAAGGGTAAGATGGGTAAGAACAGGCTGGAATTTCTCAGACTTCCTGCTCACTGAGAAAAACAATGGACAGAGGTAAAGAGCTAAAGCCTGATGCACTAATCACAGGGTGAGTCAGTGCAACTCCTAATAAATACCCAATAAGGTACTGGGTGCTCAGGAGCCCACGTGGGCACAGGTGCTCATGTGCCCACGTGAAGACAGAGCACATTCAGCAAACACAAAGCTATTTCTTGCGGCCTGCTGGGGGTGCCGCGTAACATGCTCATGCTTCTGAAGGGCAGGGCACTTGCTGGAGGGACAGTGACAAGTAGCACGGGTGGCTGAGGTTCACACGAGCAATAGGGAAAAGCAGGAGGAAACGAACAATGGTCTAACTCACTTGTAATAACAGATTTCGTAGCCCGTCCGTTTCCAGGTGGGTCTGCCAAGCAGCGCCTCCTTCACAGAATACATAGTTGGCTGCATCCCTACACAAAACAAAGACAGGATTAAAAACACTGGGGAAGAAGAAAGAGGCAAAAGAATGGCAGCAGGCTGTACCATGGCCCTCAGTGATCCCCAGGTCTTAATTCGGGAACCTGGGAATGCTACCTTGCATGGCAAAAGAGACTCTGAAGACATGATTAAAGGATCTTGAGATGGGGGGCTTATCCTGGTGGGTCCTAAATGCAATCACAAATGTCTCTTTTTTTTTAATTGATTTTAGAGAGAGAGAGGATGGGAGAGAGGGAAACAACAATTTGTTGTTCCATTTATATATACGTTCATTGGTTGATCCTTGTATGTGCCCTGACCAGGGATTGAACCCATGACCTTGGTGTGCTGGGATGACACCCTAACCAAATGCACCACCTGGCCAAGGCCATCATCAATGTCTTTATAAGAGGGGGCTTAGTGAGGTTCAAGTACAGAGGAGAAGCGATGCAACTGGACCAGAGAGACGTTTGAAGATGCTACGCTGCTGGCTTTGAAGTTCAAGGAAGGGGCCACGAGCCAAGGAACACAAGGAACGGAGCTCCAAAAGATGGAAAGGGACACAGAAAATCCACTGGCATCTCCAGAGGGAGTGTGGCCTTTCTAACACCTCAACTAAGCCCCGGGAAACTCCAGAACTATAAGAATAAATTTGTCTGGATTTAAGCCACAAAGCTTATGGCAATTTGTTACAGCAGTCACGCAAAATGAATACAAAAGTCAAGGATCATATTTCCCGTTTCTATACCAGCAGGAGTCTATTTTTAGTATAAAACGGAGACGGTATCCTGTGCTCAGACCTGGAGAAATGGGAATATTTATTCCTTACTCAAAGCCACTCAATAAATTAGCGTATGAGCCAGCAATAACAGTCAGGATTTCCCATTCCCACAAACGTTCAAACTAAATCCGGGCTGCTAATCAGTACTCCTTTGAATGTCTCCTCCAAAACCGGCACAGGTATTCAGGAGAATTTAAACCTCCTCGAGAGTTCCCTGAGTGAAATCGGTGTTGGGCCGTACTGTTTGCCCGTCTGTGACAAACAGGTCAGTGCCTTTCCTGCTGTGGGATTTAGGAGACAGAGGGCACACAGGAGGGGGCTGGCCAGGCTCAGAAAGCCCCAGGCAGGGCAAGTCTGGCGAGTCGTGTGCGGCAGTAACACCCCACAGCAGAGTGGGGACCTCCGGCTTCCCCTTCCACAGCCGTGATTCGCCGAGTGTTGGCCACCATCTTGCCACCCCTCACCCCCAAACTGTGTCGACCCGGCTTCAAACCCTTTGGGAAGCCGGCAGGGCTTCTGGTAATAAGCTGAACACTCACAGAGTGACATCACCCCCGGCATTACCCAGAAGGCCTCTGTCCCCAGGAGCTCCTACCGTAATTGAACTGGCTGTTGGGCTTCTCGCAGTTGATGATGTTGAAGCGGTAAGGGACGGCGGCCCGCATACCGCTCACCTGGAAGTTGAACCACTGCTGGTACTGCGTGCTGTTCACATCAGTGTTGACCAACAAGTCGTACTCGAACCTGCAAGGGCAGAGGCAAGATTGGAGGGTCTAGTGTGTTTAAGGGAGCTGCCGGCACTGAGAGCCTGCACAGTTCGGGCTCTTGCCAACAGACCTAAGACCCGGGGTCTCAGACGGCAGGTAAGTGATATATTTGCTCATCCAGAGCTCGCAATACGGTCACAGGCAGCGGACTGGAGGGGAGCCGGTTCTTGGTATTAGAAGAGTAAGCTGCACAACTGTAGCATATATATATATTTTTTTAAAACTGTGATAAAGTTTCTATCTAGCTGGAAAAACACAAGTGTGCAATTTCCCAGAGAAAACGTGGTCACGTTTGGCTGGATGTGCTGTTACTATTTAAAGCTGGACATCACTTTTGAGCCTCAGTCTCCTCATATGGAAAATGAAAGTAGCATCTAAACTTGCAGTGCTGTTTGTAAAGATTAATTAACACAGCGTATGCAAATCCCCAGCAAAGCTACAAACAGGAGCCAGGCTCGAGACACGCCGGGGTTGTTTATTCATTTCCCCCTTTTAAATGGATACGACGTACGTGCAAGACACACAGCGCACAAATCTTCAGTGTATAATGCAATAAATTTAAACAAATCCATCTGCATACTCCCCTCTGACAACCACCCAGATCATGCTCTAGGACCCCAGGAGGCTCTAATGTGTCCCCTCCCAGCCATCATGTCCCCGAAGGTAATTAATTTTTTGAGCTTTGAGCTTTGAGCTTTAGCAACAGAATTAGCAATGCAGATCTGACTTTAAACATTATAAGGGCATTTCATTTTCAAAAATATTATTGTCACACCCCCTTGGCGTGTTCCTTGAGTTGCTCTTTTAATTTTTTTTATCCTCATCTGAGGACACGTTTGTTTGTTTTTTATTGATTTGAGAGAGAGAGGAAGAGAGAGAGAAACATCAATCAGTTGTCTCCCATATGTGCCCCAACCAAGGATCAAACTTGCAGCCTAAGTATGTGCCTGACTGGGGACTGAGCCCACAACCTGTGGCGTACGTGACGTCGCTCCAACCAGCCGAGCCACCCGCCAGAGCCCGAACTGCTCTTCTGGAAAGGGTAATGCTTTGGCTCCGACCTGTTCATCCTCTCCCACTCTGGAGTCCTGATAACGGCCATTCTGTAGTGACATTTGGGGAAGGGCAGGGCTTTGGATGAGACCGAGCAGAGCTCAGCAGAGCTGACTGACAGACTCCCACTCTCCACTCCAACCACTGAGGTCGGCGTGGCTCACTGGGCCGCACTCACGAGAAGGACTCTGCAAAGCCTGTGTCTCTGAAACGGTCTGTTATGCCCACCATGCTGTCTCCGAAAAGTAATCATAAAAATTCCTTGCCTGTAAGGAGGTTTGTTTCCTGTCACTGGACCATTACCCTGACTACAACGGATTCGTTTAGGACCTACACTCTGGCCAAAGGCAGGCATATGGAGAGGGAGACCTGGGCAAGGCCAGCAGCTCAGCCACACCCTGGACAGATCACTGTCCCACCAGCAGACTCCTAAGGAGAAGGAGGTCTCCTCTCCTGGGTCCTCAGAACACAGTGACGGAGAGAAGGAATGCGAAAGGCAGGAGCCACAGGAAGAAGCAGAAGCTGAGCTGGCAGACAAGGAGGAGGAGGCCGCTGAGAAGGATTCTCAACAGGACGGTCTTGCCCGTGTTCAGCCCAACTGGCTCAACCTGTACTTGTTTTCTTGTTGGGCTTTCTGGAAATAACGCATGCTAAAAAGAAAGACACACACACACACACACACACACACACACACACACACACAGTATCACCATTCGTCTCCTCTCCAAAAAATGAAAACTTCAGAAGTGACTCCCTAAGGGGATAGGAAACAGGTCGGAGCCCCAGCCCAGTGCCCGTGGCCCCTGCGCAGGGGCGAATGCTGACTCAGCGCACTAACTCTCCTGACTCTACGTTGTGGCGGCTCTGCCTGTCCCCTTCCGTGGGTGAGGACATGAATCCATGCAGTCAGTCAGGGGCTCGCTCAAAGTCTGTGACCACCACACTATCACCTGCTCTGGACTGTTGCTTTGTATGGCCACAGATGATGGGTGCTGTGTCTTGCCTTTTGCAAATGACACATGGAGTCTACACAGCTATGGCAGAGGGAATTACAGCAAAAAGCAGCAACGTCTCTGCTGCGGGAAGCTTTTGCATTATTCCCCTCCCCCGAGCTTGTGCAGCCCCGGGCTCTCCTTGCCCGCGGAACCCTTCTCTGGGAGCAAGGGCTCACTGGCGGGCTCTGGCACAGACACGGCACCGAGTGCTCTCTCTGAGCACGGAGGGCTCTCCTCTCTACGGGGGCCCACAGCTTCCGCCTCCCAAGTCTACAGCCACGGGAGCTGCAGACGTGGACAGACACAGGGGTAGGGCACCCTGGCATCAGGGGAAGGATCAAGGTCCCCAGGAAAGTGTGTCCCACCTCAATATGGACCCGCTCTTTGGAACCCAGGCGGATCCCTAGAGGGTCGCTTCTGGTCTCCACCTCGCTATGACATCAGCCGGTGACAGGCTGGTGGACGTGTCCCCACCAACTCGCAGCCTTCATCTGCGGTGTCTGCCACTGTGCACGGCGTGAACACCGCGTGGTCACCGCAAGGAGAAAGGGAAGGGGGGCGGGGCGCGGCCGCACCCCTGAGCTGCCGCAGGGCAGCCTTCCTTACTTACTCGCGCACTTGGATGGCCTTGCGAAGGTTCCCTGACTCGAACCTGGCGGAGAACCGTAGGCCGCTGGAAGCAGCGTCCTGCCTGTGAGGAAAGAGGGACCGTGCAAACGGGGCGTGACTGCCGGTCTTGGGAGCGGTGGGACATCCCTGAGGGAGAAGCTTTCTCTCGTAGATTTTTAGCCCAAACGTTCACCGGGCTGACTCTGGGAGCGGGAATGGATTCCTAACAGGACACTGTCAGGCTCGGACTTCTCCCTACTGCACCACCCCCCGCCCCCGCCCGCCTTCCCCTGGCGGTCCAGGCCACCTACCCAGGCTCGTCTAAACTGAAGACGACTCTGTTCAAAACATCGCTGGGCTGGATGAACCTCCGGATGTCCTCCAGTATCTTGATCCTGAAGAGGAAAATGAGAAGCATCTTCAAGGTGGACCCTGGCTCCCCACCCCACTCGTCCTGTGGCCACCTGCAAGGGGCCTGGGGAGTCATCAGAGAAACAGGAGAGTTTAATAATGCCCCAAGCGTGAGCTGAACTAGCAAAGAAGTACTGCTCCTCCTTCCTTCTCTTCTTCCGCAGGAAGAGAACCGCACTGGGTTTAGGAATGTAAGAAGCGGCAAGGCTAGACTGCAGCAGCGCCAGTGTTCTGACTGCAAGGGGAGTTTTGTCCGGAGTGTTCGGGTAGAGGGACGTCTGAGGTTTCCGGTCGTGTGAGCGAGAGGGTCCTGAGCACTGGCCGCTCTGAGGGGATGCTGGGGTTATTGACCGCTAGCATCCCAAGGCCTGGGAGGCTCCAGTGGGCTTCTGGACCCTGTGTCACTTAGGTTCCTTGGGTTCTGTCTGCCCCGGAGATTGAGGCTGATCTTCTTTCTGAGAAACACCAATACCCTGGAGATTTAAGGAGGAGGATGGAGAAAAGAAGCTTAAGGGAGCTTTCTGATTTTCTCCTCGAACTTCCGATCCAAGTCTCTGGGGTGGGAGGAAGGGGAAGGGGAGGCGGACGGGAGGGCCGGATGCAGGGGAAGATGTTCCAGCCAGGGGGGCGGGGGGTGTAGCTGTTGCTGGGCCAGCCCTGACGGTGTGTCTCTCGGGAACCTGAACGTGACAGAGAACATGCAGGCGCCGAGGCCGGAGATGTCGGCCAGGAGCCCGAGTGGGAGCAGCTCTCGGGCTCCACCATCGAGTTGCTAATGAAATGGAAAATAAGCTAATGAAACTTTCTGGTACGCACACTTTGCCCCACTGACTGAGTGCATGCAGACGCGATTTTTTTTTTTCAAGGAAAATAAATTTTTTTCCCTTGGCTTTAGTAATTTTCATTTGACCCTCACTTTGCGGAGCCAAAGGCAAAGCTCCCGCTCCTGAATTCTGGGAATAATCCATCACCCAGGGCTTCTTCCCCCCCGAGAAAGCGTTCTCACGCCGTCCTCGGTGATGCAGGGAACTATTCGCCAAGCCACGCCAAGCGCTGTGCGGCTGGCCTGTGAGATGACGGTGCACGCCTCCCATTAACAAAAGACCGGACGCCAGTTTGCAAGGAACGGGAAAGAAGATCCCGGACCCGGACAGCCCACACTAGTTTTTTCCCAGCACCTTCCTGAGCAAGGACGCCAGCACCGGCAGAAACCGGATCCTCCTCTGTGGAGCAGCTTGCCGTGCACGTGGGGTAAGGGGCGGCACAGCATCCTCCGAGGGGCTCTCCTTGGGGAAACACACGCCCCCCCACCGCTACCCCGCCCTGGCACTGAAATGTTCTAGAAGGCCGGCATGCTTGCGCGTTTGGCCAAAGTCTCCCCAATGGAGGCTTTAATGCACTTCCAACGCATGCTCACTTCTCTACAGAGGGCAGAACTATTGTGCACACCGTTCCTCCTACGAAAATATTGAAGAGGAGAAAAAAAAAAAAAACCCACAGCTCTCCAATCAGCAGCACCGTCACCTTTGGATTCCACGTTTGCGCTCCAACATGGGCTCCGGAGACGGAGGCGGACGATGGCCCCAGAGGTCAGGAAACGCCGCCGTCTTGAAGTCAGCCACGGACCGGGTTCTTCGGGCTTTGGCCATGTAAACACAGGGGTCGTGGAAGGGGATGTGCTGGGGGTGCGTCTGCAGCAGCTCATCCATCACTTGCACAGGGTCTCTGGACCGGGCGGGATTGGAAACGGAGGCACTTGTCCTCGGGCAGGAAGTCACATCTATGTCCCAGGCACCCTCTCGGAAGAGGGCCTGAATGTCCACGGTTTCACTTCCGGAAGAATCCGTCCCCAGCCCATTGGATTGGGCCTTTTCGTACGGGGTCCCTCCAGGTCCCGTTTGGGAGGCTAGATGCACGGAGGGCCGCTGCCTCTTCACCATGCTCAGGAGGGGCGTCTGGACTGCGTCCTCTCTTCCCTGCCCCCGGGAGCTTTGGTCCTTATTCGAGCAACGCTGCTTCGGGGGGGCAGTGGTCGGAATGTGGTGGTGGTTGGCGTACTCGGTCTTTTCAGAGCCCAGCTCATCTCCAGGTTTGGGCTCCAGTTCCTTCAGGTTTAAAGTACAAAAGGAGATGTCAGTATTCGCTTCCAGGTAGAGAGCCCAAGTGACCCCCTCCTCACTCCCTGGGCTCAGGGCTCAGCACAGACCCCATGGACTGGGGCTTTTCCAAGGTCAGCCACGGCCAGACAGTCTAACAAGTGGCAGAAGCACAGAAACTCACATCTGTGAGGGGCCTTTGGTGGGTCTAGTACAATCCTATCAAGTACATGAGGGCCTTCTGTAACACCCCCAGTAAGGCAGTCCGGTTGAAGAACCTCATTTACTGGGTCTTCACAGCACCCCAAGGTGGTACCTTTTATTTGAGGATCATTCTGATTCTTTACAGAAAGGGTTCTTCACACTGAACTGAAATTTCCTCCCTGAAATTTTTACCCGCCAACCCCTTTCTGCTTTCTGGAGTGAGGCAAATGACTCTAACTCCCTTCAACAAGGGACCTAGCTTGCACCATCAGGTAGGGCCAAACTCATGACTGAGAGTCAATGGCAAACCACCGAGGTCAAAAGGCAGGTCTACAGTACTGGTGGCAGCAACAGCAGCAGCAGCGGCAACCAGCCCCCAGGTCGGCATCAGCAGGTGTGAGGTTCGCAGTTCGCCTCCACTGACAAGGCCAGGCTGGCCACTCTCTTGCAGAAAACCATCTGGTACGCCCCGCCCCCTTCGACAAGGCAGCAATTAAATCATTGAGAATTTTCACTTGCTTTTTCAGCATGCAGGGGCAGGGCACCCCGCCCCCCAGACAACCAACGGGCAGCAGTGTGTCCCTGCATCCTGTCCTTCCATCCTCGGTGTCGGGGGTCAGGCTGTAGGACTCTGGTCTGCACCCTAAGCTCAGCCACCTTTTCCTCCTTCTTGCTCAGCAATCTGCCTCACTCTCAGAAAGATCCCAGAAGCAGACTGCTAATGACGAGCCAGGCTTTCCACCTGGAGACCTCTGTCTGGCCCCGGCTGTGCAGAGGGCCCACGGTGTGACCCCGCCCCGCCCCGCCCCGGAGCGGAACCACGGCCCACGGCCCACCTCAAAGCGGCAGGAGAGCTCCAGGCACATCGCCTCGTACTGGGTCAGCTCCTCTGCGGGCCGGTCAAGTCCAGGTTTGGAACTCAACTTGTTCACATCTGTTTCCAAGTCGTCGTCCTGTGAGGAATAGTCACAAACCACGTGACAACCAAGAAAGCCACCCTGAGGAGCGTCAGGACGAACTACCTGTGTGACCCTTCGCAGACCTGGGACATGGTGTTCTTGCCTCCAAATCAGAGTGCTGGCCTATGCACAGGGCAGTTTAATACGCCAGGTTGTATTTGTAAAATAAGAGATACGGATGTTAGTATTTACCATTATCAGCCCACATCATAAATAGGTAGTATTTTATATGAAATGAACTATGGAAACAATAAAGCACTAGAGAAACTTTTATCTCATCACCACTATTAACATAATCGTAATTATTGTACCTATTCATCTGCCCACCTTTGCCATTTAGGTCCTTCGTGTGTTTTGTTAATCCCCACCTCAGGACGTGTTCATTGATTTCATAGAGAAAGGAAGCAGGGGAGAGAAAGGGAGGGGGGAGAGAGAGACATTGATCAATTGCCTCCTACCCACACCCCGACCAGGGATCAAACCCGCAATCCAGGTGTGTGCCCGGACCAGGCGTCAAACACACAACCTTCTGGTGCGCGGGACGATGCTCCAAGTGACCGAGCCACCCGGCCAGGGCCGGCCGGCCAGCTGTCCCGCTTCTCACAAACGTTTACGAGCAGCTACTATGAGCAGCTGATCTGGAGGAACTAGAGACTTGGTGACAGTGGAACAGAGAAAGGGCCATGCGCCCATGGAATCTGCCTTTTTGCAAGGGAAGGGAGAGAGTAAACGAGACCATAAATAAATGAGAAGCTAATTTCAAACAGTGATGAGCACCACGGAAGTCGGCAAAGGGGGCGATGTGACTGTGGCGGAGGCCAGGGTGCGGGAAGCTGCCTGGACTGGCTGACCTGAGCAGCTTTGCTGAGGGGGCAACGCTTTTGGACCTGAATGACGATAATCTCTGTCTGTGCAAAGACCTGGGCCACGGGGTCACCGGCCGAAGGAACCGGTTAATCTGCTTACGGAACCACGGCGGCTGAAGGACGGAGAACGAGAGGAAGATCCGGGAAGCAGGTGTTCTGCTGAGCTGCACCGCACCTGGGAGTGCGCTTGGAACCTCCGGCGACAGCTTCATCCCTTTGGACACGTACAAGTTGACCGAGTCGCCACTAGTCTTTTCTTCTTTGGGTTGAATAGTCCCAGACTTCATTTTTTTCTACTAGATCATCGTTTCATAATAGTTTAATAGGGATGGCGACTCTTCTCCAAACACTTCTGTGTTTTTCAAAGACTACAGACTCTTACACAGAAAGGACTCCAGGAATCAAACCGCTTATCTCCTCATCTTTCTGTGTCTCTCCTAGATCAAGTTTCCCTAATGAAACAGGAGAAAAATCTGCCCTGTGTTTTAGGGCTATATTGGGCTGGTTAAGGAAAAAACTGGCAGTCCTGAAAACCTAGATTATTCTCCCCTAAATCAAATAAATGTAGAAAATAAGTGCTTAGATTCCTGATCCGGGGGGAAAAAGCAAATGCAATATTCCATCCATCTTTTGCAATCTTCCTCCAAACCTGAGATTAAAAGACCAACAGATCCCATGCGGCTGACTTAATGATGTTTTCAGATACAGTGCACACCAGGCCCAGACTCGTTAGCCTGGTGGTGGAGATCCCAGCTCACTCTCTCCCTCCCTCCCTCCAGGATTCCCCCATCTCGGCGACAGCCAAAGCCATGCCCCGAGGTGGTGCCAACGGAAATGCACAGGGAAGTCAGCTGGCGTGTCTGGAGTGAGGAGTGCCGTGTAACCTGTGCGATCCGTGAACTGCTGCCTCACTGGTCCCACAGGTGGTTGGGTCCATGAAGAAAAAAACACGGCCGACACCCAGTCTGTGTTTAAGCTTCTCTCTTCTTACGCTGGCACCGACAGCTTTTGATCAGACTTTCCACTCTGAGGACCCTTTACAAATCAAAGATTCCTTTTAATCACACTTTCTAAGATACCAGTGTTAATTACTGACTAAGCTTTCCGAATGACCTGCAGCAAACACTCCTGGCTCCTTCCCACGTTTTCTGCAGGAAACGCTGCTAGGTCTGCCGAGGACCAGCACATCTGTGGGAGCGCGAGTCCCCCTGCTCTAGTCAAGCCCCAGAGCCCAGCCCTGCCTCCGATGCTCCTCTGCTTCCGCAACTCATGCTCACGCAACCAAGCGCTCATCTTCTTGGCTCAAAGGCTTGAAATGAGCAGTTTCCGGGCCTTCCCAACCGGACGTGTGTGTTTGTTTCAGCTCCACACGCCCCGGCCCACCACCGCCTGGAAAGCGGGGACGAGGGAGAATGTCTGGGCCTCCCCCGATCCTGTGGGGGACCAGGCACTGGCTTCGGCTTGTCCTTCCACATCATTTTCAAGGGGTGACTGGCATTCTGCACTAGACGTTCAGCTATCAGAGAGCAAGCCGGAGGGGAGGGGAAAGTGGCAGTGATGAATGGCTGCAGCGGCACAATATTATTCAAATAATTCAGCAAGGACTCCAAGTCCTGCACAGCCAAGTTACGGCAAAGAACCAATTTTCTCTACTGATGACTTCAGAAACGGTTCTATTTATCAACAAAACCCCGCGAACACCCGAGTATCAATAGCAGTCTTAACCTAGAGACCTGGCCAAGAGGTAGTGCCTTTATGACTGCCACACTCATCAGCAAGCTGAGTGATTACGGTGGCAGAACTCAAAAGGTCGCCGTCTCTCTAGACAGACAGGCAGGCAGGCGAACAGCTAAGAAAAAAGGAGAGGAGGAAGGGAGAGAGGGAGATGGATGGATGGACGCATGGATGCATGGATGCATGGATGGATGCACAGATGGACAGATTTTTTAAAATTCAGGTTTCATGTCCAGGACTGTCACAAAAGGTAGCATGTGCTTCATCATATTTTGTCAACGACACAATTAAGGAATGTCACTCGAAAGGGCTTGTCCAAGTTCATGTTTACCAACAGAAACGAAGACACGATATCACTCATGGATAAAGTTACCGTTATTCTAGAGTAGCGGCTCTCAGTCCGGGGTGATTCTGCCCCCGCCCCGGACATGCGGCACTTTCTGGAAACATTTCTGGTTCACGACTGGGGGGGGCGGGGGGGAGGAGTGGGTGCCGCTGGCATCTAGGGGGGTAGAGGCCCGGGATGCTGCTAAACACCCCGAGACACCCAGACGGCCCCACAGCAGAGAATTACCCAGTCAAAACGCCAGTGGCACCAAGGTTCAGAAATTCTTCTCTGGAAATACAGCCGGTGCACTCTGTGCCACCGCCTGTTCTCTGTATTGGGCGTTACTGGAACAGAGCCACGCCTCACCGTGCATGTGTTATCTGCAGGTGCTTTTGGGCTGTGACGGCAAAGGGGAGGGGCTGTGACAGAGACCGTCTGGTGCACTGAGCCCCTGGCAGTTCCTGTCTGACCTTTTGTAGAAGGTGTGCTGACCTCTGTTCTACAGCCCAGGTCACCATGGGCGAGAGGCCAGAGGGCGCCGCTGCCCTGTGGGCCGGATGGTGGACACCAAGCAACTCCAGGCAACACGACCCACCCAGCCCCCCGAGGGGCGGGAACTGGGAAGCGCACTGGTCCTGTGCCGGAAGGGCCGGAAGAGCGACTCACAGAGGACGGTGTGATCTGCTAGAAAAAGGGTCCTAGAAACTCTTTCCCGGGTCTCTGTGCCCGAACGTCTATCGCACACTGAGTGCACCAACCCTACTAAGCACTGAGTGTCCACCCTGGCTTGTCGTGATAGAACGTGAGGTGTCCTCATGATGGGCAGCCCCTGACTTCACAACGAAACGCCGCGCTGGGCTGACCGAGAGGCAACAGCCTGGAGGTCGAGAACAGCCACTGTCGTTGACTCAGCATACCATCTGCCAGGCACTGGGGAGGGGAAAGTCAGCCCTCAAAATGCACACTGGTATTCGCCAAACAGAGAAAACGAGGATGTTCCTCTGCCCCCCACGAACACGGAGAACATCAGAGGCAAGGGCTGGTGTACCTACTTCCTCTTTCGCATCTTCGGAATCGGAGTCTTTGTCCTCTCCTTCGTCACCGTCGTCTTCAAAGTCCTCTGGGTGGGGAAAAAGAGGGGGAATGAGCGAGGCCTCCCCTCTGTCTTGGATTGGGATTAGTCCTGTGCCCTCTCGCCAATAAGGAAGGCGCTCGTGATTAAGTGCGTGACACTCCACTGCACGCCGCCGGCGCCTACGTAAGGCACGGGAAACCGAGTGCACGCAGGCCCGTGAGGGCCCTGTGTCGGGAAGGCGGAACCGCTGCCCCACGCACGGGATGCACAGTGAGTGCAGCCCAAAATGACGCACAGCCACCACCCTGGTCAACCCCACCCAACCGAGAAGAGTTTCTGCAGCCAACATGGCCAAAGGCTGGAGATCACATGCATACAGAACTCGCTGCACTTTGAGGGACTCCCTAATTTTGATGCGAGGGAAATTATTTGAAACAAACACCGACAGACACATCCAGCTCCGCTGTGGCAAGACGGGGCCTCGGGAAAAATCTGTCCCGTGCAAGGAGGATGGAGGTGGAAAGCACCAGAAGCCTTTGACAACAAACCTGAAGATCAAATAATCATACTTTCAAATGTTCTAACAGGACGAGCATGAGGTTTTAAATAGCAGAAGTTTTATTTCAATTTCATCCTTAGGGCAAATTAATTCCAGAACTAGTCAGTACGGTGGAGGGACTCAATCGCGGGCCTGTGAATAGATTGTTTTTAATTAGCTGAGATCACCGTACAGGGACTCAATAGCCACCAGGCAAAGTGGCAACAGTTAATAACCACAGACAAAACAAGTGAACTTGGCATTTGTTCACTCGGCGTATGGAAAACTTGCTTTTTCATACGTATTTCTAACTAGCTTATGGATAATCATGGCTGGCCTGCAAAAGAACTGATTTTTACTTTCATCTGCCCGCCTGTGAAATGTTGCCAAGACGCAGAAACTCACTTTCAAGCTCACAGATGCCCGCTTCCTTTACCTTCAGCGAGAGCAGGCGAGGGGCCAGAGGGGGTGTTGCCGGCAGCCGGGAAGGCGTAGGCGCTGCTGGCCGCAGCCAGGGGGAGGGGGCTCCTCGGGGAGCACTGCCTCAGCACCTGCAGCACGACGCAGGTGACGGGCTCTGAGCCCGGGTCGTCCAGGCGGTTCTGCACGAAGGGGAGAGGAGTGTGTCAGACCCTGCGACTCACACAGAGCCCCTGGGTGACGCATGACACCCAGGCTACGGGGACAGTAGACACCCTTCCCGCAGGAGGTCGAATGTGAACGCTGTGGTGGGGAGCTTTGTCTCATGTAGAACCCGCTTTGGCCCAGGGTACAATCTGAATTACTTCTCTTTCCCGGCTCAGGTGTCATTGGAACGAATTTAAATTTAGTCTGAATATGGGCATAAATATGGACAGGTGTCTTTCAGGGCATGGAGCACCCAAAGGGCCTTGCTGTGAGGGATGGCCGGGGGGAGGGGAGGGGCCTGTTCTGCAGCCGCCATGGGCCCCTGAGAGTGACTGCCCACATTAGGGAATGAGCAGCTGAGTGGACGGAAGTCTCACGTTCCTCTTTCAGCTGTTATCCAGAGGAAAAAAATAATAATAAAGGAAAAGGCTGAAATATGCAATCAGAAAAAATGACAGACAAAGAGAATCCCAAGCACCTAAATTAAATACCAGGCCTCTTCTCAAAGCCTGCTGCATTGATCCTTCTTGGCACCCACCCAACACAAAGGAAACTTGGCTTTTGCAGATGCAGCATTTAGATATTGATGAAACATGACAAGACCCTTCTTTTCAGACACAGTGAAAAATTCGAGAACAAGCTGACTGAGCTGGGAGGGAGAGACGGGAGCTGTTTGGTCATCTCTTTGGGGTGGGGGGGAATGGCCATGGGCTTCAGCCTCCGAGTAAGTGTTCTGTCTACTGACGTGGCCCAGAAGTGGACTAGTGGGGGCCTCCGGTGGGGCATTACTAAGGGGTCTCCGACAAGCTCTGCGGTCAGCAAATCACGGTCGGAGATACGGAGGGCGCCGAGAACCCGCCGCCGGGTGGGCAGGCTGTCCACGGCGCGGTCACACCGTGGGGTCTGCCGGCCCGCCTGACAGGTGGCTCCACGTGAAAGAACGTGAAGAAAAACCATGTAACAAAAATCAAGCCGTGAATTCAAGCTGTCCGAATGACTCTGAGATATGGTAAGAGGAAGCCAACTGTCAGAGCGAAAGTACACTGATATGATCAAGAACGCTCTCTCCCCTGCTGCGTGCTCACGTGGTGCCCATCAGGTGCCCTGAACCAACCGCAGGAGGGTGGGCTGGTGGAGGCCACTTTACCCCGGGAACTCGGGATGATTTCAAGCGCTCGCTGAGAAAGGGCCAGTACTTGGAAGAGGAGAGAACTGAGCGGGGAGGAGCAAGGTGGGGTGCGGGGGGACAGCCGATCACAGGTCATGTGTTGACCTTCAGTCTCAGGAGGCAGAGAGCCGATCTGCAATTACCCACTTCCACCTGCAACGACCCCCGTCTCCGAATCAACGACTATCTCAAACTGCTGCACGGTAGGTAGCACCCTTGGAGGGGCTGTTTCTGGCCTTAAATTCCAGTCGTCATCCTTCTCCCTCCTTCCTCGTACCGAGCTCCAACAAGATCCCACTGCACCGCACCGCACCCTCACTGCAGCAGGGACAATCGGATCCCCTCAGCCGGGATCCCTGGCGGACTGTGCAAGAGCCTGACCCGGGACACAGAGCGGTGGGGTCACTAAGAGAGGGACCTTCGATCAGCGGCCTCCGCAGAAAGGCAAAGACCACCACAATGAACAAAGGCTGTGGGAAAGGACTCAAAAGGAGTTCCTTCTTCTGCCCAGTGGGTTTGCAGTGACATCACAAACACCAACAGCAATAGCTCAGGACAGCGGTTTCCCAAGTGTGATTCCCAGACCAACGGCGTCGGCATCACCCAGGAACTTGTTAGGAACGCAGATTCCCGGGCTGCGCCCCAGACCCGCTGAGTCAGAAGCTCTGGAGATGGGGCCCCTGCAGCCCTCCTGGTGACCCCGCGGCACACTCTGCTCCTGCCGTGGGCAGAAGTGGGGGCTTCGAGGGACACCACCGGTTTCAAATCCCTGAAAATGCTGAAATCGGAGAGTCTGTGTAAGATGTGGAGCCAGCACCAGGCCACCATAAGCACTCAATACAAATCTCTCCTCCTCCTCCTTCTCCTCCTTCATTATCACCGACGTGACCATCACCACCACCACCATCATTGTCAGCTGGAACGGCAGCAGCCGCAGCAGAATGTGCAACAGCCGCTGGAATGACAGGACTGAACCCAGGGTTCTCCAGTCGGCCATCCTGTGACTTGAGAGCCTTCTCTGGCGGGAGAGGACAGAGGGGCAGCTCCAACTCCAGCACGGCCGCAGTGACATCAGTGCTCGCAGCCGGGGGCCGGGAGGCTCTGCAGCCGGGGAGACCCGGCTGCAAAGAGCAGGGGCTGCCTCCCGCACATCCGGCATCCATTCCAAGAAGCCGCTGGGGGCTGGGCACCTGCCGGCTTGCCTGGCCAGGCAGCCGAGGTCTTCGCTGACCGGCTGGGGAGCTGCTTCGGAGACCCCAGCCCCCGCTGCGCCTGGGCTTCCCTCGGTAGCTTTTTCTCACCACACACGTGCACCTGCGGGATCAGCATCTTCTCTCACTGCCCCGTGAGGTGTTCTTTCACACCCGACAGAGAAACAGCCATTACCGCAGAGGACAGGGGAGCTGGGCAGGGGGCGGGGAGGGGGGGGCGCTACGAGGTGTCAGCAGCACAGGTGGTGCTTCACCGGGGCCGGGAGAGATGAGAGACTCAGGGGGACAGACACAAGCTCACAAAGTACGGTGACGCCTGGAAAAATTCAAAGCGTTTCCTCATCCAGAGGAACAGAGTATAAAATTTAGCTATTTCATGACTGAGAGGCTCCGAAATCTGCAATGATGGAGAGAAACCCGGAGGTGAAAGCAGGGAGAAAATTAGATATTGCTTTGCAGAGTGATATTATGTTATTATTTAGAGGGGGGGAAGCTATTCCTTCAAATGGGAAAAGTCTGCAGGCGCCCTGGTTGGAAAACAGCACTCTCGTCGGCTGCCTCACCCCCTCGGATGTTCCCGTGCAGAGACTACCTGGGGCTTGTGCAGAGAAGAGCAGAAAGACGGATGGAGGGAGAACCGACTGAGGACAGACAGCAAAGAACGTACTGTGTGTGAATCACAGCTGCCTTGCCCCTGGACCGGGGGGTGGGCAGACGGTCAACACTGGAAGGAGGGTCATGTCATCGGCGGGGAGGGTGAATACGGCCTCGCACAGTGGGGTTTAAATTAGCCCTTGTCAAGGGAAATTACGGAGTGTGTCACTGGGGCTGAAATCCAGGAAATCCCAAACACACATCCCACTGGGGTGCAGGTCAGCAACAGACCTTTGCAGGAAATCATCTTCCTCGTGAACTTCTTTGCTTCCGCAGTGTCTGACTCTCCCACTAAATGTCTGCCCCACAAAACCAGCAGTCTTGTCTGTCGTGGTGCCCCCTAGATTCCGCTGTGCTAATTGTCCCAGGGGCTGCTCATACTCACAAAGCAGCTTTGTCACGCCAACAAGGAGGAGGAGGAGAAGGGGAGGGGGAAAAAAGGAACAAAAAGGAAGAAGGAAGGGAGAGAAGGAGGGAGCGAGGGAGGGAAAGGAGAAACTTGAGGCCCAGAGAATTTGGGTGGCTTCAGAGTTTCACAGCGGCGGGTGCTGGGACTTGAACCCAGGCTCTCTCGCTTTCAAGTCTACGCTCGCAACCGCTGCACCATAGTGTGTGCCCAGTACATATGGACAAACAGATGAAACAATGCATGAGTGAATCAATGAATGGGGATTTGGATCCGGAACATCTCCCCACAGCAGGCAGCAAGAACTGAGCTGGGGTTTTCCCAGCTCTGTTCCGGACGATTCCAAAAGGACAGCCTCCTGCAGGAAGCACCCAGGTGCCGTCCGAGGCAGAGGCGGCCCCCACGTGGATTACCTGCGCGCCGCTGAAGAGGATCTCCATGCCCTGAGCTGCCAGGAAGGCCTCCCTGCCAGACCGGAGGGCGGCGATGTGCCTGAGGCAGAGCAGGAGCGCCCGGCGGATAGCCACGTAGGTATTGGCCATGTCGTGGCTGTGCCAGTCCTGATGCAGCCTGAGCAGGCTGGTGACGTAGCCTCTGTTCACCGCCCGGCGGCTGTTGGACTCTGAAACCAACGGGGAAAGGGGGCGTCGGGCTCAGGCTCTCCCGGGGGCCCCCACCTCAGGGTGTCCCGGTGCACCTCCCGGAGATGCTTGTTAACTCGAAAGGGAAGAGCAGTAACCTCCCAGAGGGGAAAACTGGCAGGTGTCTCTTGAATCGAGTGATCAGAGTGCACCACCAGGTACGATGCACTGCACAAGACACGGCATCCCTCCAATGGCGTTCCTGCGCAAACTCGGAATTTAACCGTGCAGGACGTCGGCAAAACCCACGTGAGGGACATGCTGCAAAATACCTGGCCTATGCTCTTCAAAAATGTCAAGGTCACGAAAGGCCAAAACAAACAAGCAAACAAACAAAGACAGAAGCACTGAGCTAAAAGACACTAAAAAGACCTGACACTTAACAACAAACATCACAATTACAATTTATATCCTGGCCTCGGATATCCGGGACTGTCCTCCCTTCTAGAAAGCACTGGTAAACCTTGAATAAGGCCTGTAGATTAACCCACAGTATTGCACCAATGCCCGTGAGATTTAGATAAACAGCAGCTATGTAAGAGGATGTCACTGTTTTCAGGAAATTCAGAACCGGTACACGGAAACGTTTGTAACTTATTCTGAAACAGTTTAGAAACATTATGATAGAGTGTGTGATGGAGGGGGGGGGGAAGCGAGAGGGAAAGGGTTGTGGGGGAGAGAGAGAGCTTTCATTCCTTCTATGCCTCAGTCAGCTCTGGGTGCTGCCCTTGGGTTGAGCAAAGGAGAAGGTGGAGGTTGGGCGTGAAAAGACACCGGGTGAGACGTAACATCTGAAAGGCCGTCGCGTGTGGGAGATGCACGGGATGTTGTTGCTAACGAGAAGAGAAGCCGATTCACGAACAGCCCAGGGTTGGACGCAGCCGAAGAAAGCCAGCCTTCTGCAGCCAAGGCCGCCCGCCAAGGGCGCGGCCTCTGAGCGCAGGGAGCCCAGCAGCCCGGCACCGAGCGTGCGCGTTGCGGAGGAGGTGGAAACGCACCCCTAGGGGGCGTGGTCTGAGCTTTCCCACGCCGGCAGGGGAGCGGGAACAGAGCGCCCGTGCGGTGCCCTCTCCCTACCAACACCGCGATTTGTGTCTCTCCGTTGCTGGAATGACCTTGGCTGCGCCCACTCGGGAGACCCACCTCATGGGGTCGGTGGATCATTTCTCAGTTTTCCCGAGACACGGTTTAAATTCCATTCGGAGGAACACCAGGAGAAGAGTTGAAGGTACCCGCTCTCGACAGTTAATTAACACCTGCCCCTTCTCCGGGTGAAACTCCCCGGGCCGCGGGGTCGGTGGGCACACGTGTACCCGCTCGCATTCCCGCAGCAGACGCCTGGCCGTCGGAAGACTCTCGCCAGCCAGCCGAGTCTCGGGCGCAAACGCCCAGATGCTGCGGCGCCGCCCGCTCGTTACTGTTACCGTATTTCTCCACTACCCAGTCCGTTCGCGCTGGTGTGTGGGACCACACACACTTCCAGCAGAGGGTGTCTGAGCGAGACTCCCCGGGCTGTAATCGGATACGCACAAATACCAGCTCCAAGTCAGGTTTTTCCTTCGGACCGTGTAAGTGTACGAGGGAAAAAACAGCATGGAAATTCAGTGCTTTATTCCAGGAGGTTTTTCTCATGATGTTAATGAGATCCTTTTTTTTTTTTCCTGCTTGTTTGTCAAATTCTGAATTGTCAGGCTTGACTGAGCCCCAGTGAGATTTTTGACCCATTTCTTCAGTTGGTTTTACTTTTTTTTTTTTTTTTTTTTTTTACATTTTTCATCATTTCAGTCAGCCATGACCTGGAACTGAGAGTGATGAGCTTTATTCACTCGGTGATATGTTTGTGGATGGTTTAAATCGCCTTCATTACCTCCTTTAATGAATTATTCTTCTGTATCAAAAATCTCTCTCTCCTTGGCTAGTCCCAGCCACAAAGCACTCAAGTTCTTTACGGTCTAAATGAGGTTCCAGCCTCTCCAATATCTGATGTTTAAAAGAAAATTGAGGATTAAGTAGGAGGCATTAAAGAAAAGAATCGCCTGTTGAAAAGATGCCAAAGTGGCAAAAACAGTGCACAGGGGCCCTGTGGGCAGTGCGAGGCTGGGGATTTGGGCCTTTATCTGTTTCAGTGTTCTCCTAACGACCTTCATACTTCCGGGGGGTGAGGGGGGTGGTGGAAAGAATCTTTAATTATCTGAGAGAAAAACCCCTTATCAAATCCCAATGACTTTATTCATGATTTTCTGTTAATCCTCAGTGAACCGCCAGGTGTACTAGCATCTGAAACAGCTACACCTCCATCCCGCACCCCCGACCTTGCACCGGTCAAGCTTTCTCGGAGAAGGGCTTGGGGAGTTCCGCAGAAGTGCCCACTTGTCTGAAACCCGACAAGAGGACCTTCGTCAAACTGGGCAGAGCAGATGCACCAAAAAGCAAGGGGATGAAACAAGGGTCACGGAGAGCAGCGACCGGGAGGAATTCTAGGGAATGTGAGAGGAAAACAGGGGTCCCCCACAGGAGCCCGAACAGTGAGGAGCAGGCAGGTGGGCGGGAGGTGTCTGACACTGTGTTGGGTGAGCTCAGGGACGGGGGTGGGGGAGGGCTCCCCGTGCGTCCCCCAAGGCTCTCCAGAACAGACCAGCTGCACTTCAGTTTGCTTACATCAGTGGCTTCTTCCTGAGGATTTTTTTTTTTTGGGGGGGGGGGGCGGTGGCAGATCCTGTCTCTTAAATTTTGGGGGAAAAATTTAATTTTTAAAAATGTCCTAAGTAGACTGGTTTGCCTTAAACTAGTTGGAGATGGGGGTGGGATGGCCAGAGAGGACTTCCCAGGGTCTCTGACACCCCGCCCCCAGCCCCGCGCCGTCTCTGAAGTGCTCTCAGTGACCTGTCTCCACCAGCCCCGCCCTGGGGGCAGCCTCATGAAGGGCTCACCCGTGAACTTAACCTTGTCCTGACCTCCAGCTCGCCCTCGTATAGTCGACTACTTCTACCCCCCTCTCCAGATTACGTCTGCGCGGGGTCTTCTCCGTAGCTGGTTCTCGTTCTGAAATGTGACCTAGTGGTATCCGTAGTTTTACCCTGAGTACTTTTCCACTGAGGTTTAAATGTGTCTCTTCACTGCAGACCCTACTGATGCTGCAGACCCTACTGATGCTGCAGACCTTCAGAGCCAGGTAAAAAGGAAAGAAAAAAAAACAGGGAGGGAGTATCTCGAGATATCAACAGTACTTATGGCGGAGGAGGATGCTGGTGGTTCCATCTGCTGCAGAGCGTTTGAGTGCAATGTGAATTTTCTGCAGCTCTTCTCCCTCTCGTATCCTACGAGGAACTTCGGTTCGCCGCAGAGGAAACATGGGAGCCTGCAGCAGAGGGAGGAGCCGCAGCGCTGGGAGTGAGACCCCCAGGCGAGCGCAGACCTCCGACCTCCCCCCGAGGGCCTTGCTGAGCCCGTGCCCTGGGCGGACCCGCCAGCGGCCAGCGTCCTTCCCGGAATCCCTGCACGTGGCCCTGAGCTCGACCACCCTCCAGCTGCAGAGCCGTGAACGTGGCACTTCCCCCTTCTATCACTCAGTCTTTCTTGGGAAAACAACTAAAGCAGAATCGTTTCCTCCTGGAGTTGAGAAAGTTAAATGCCGTAATACGTGTAATCAGGGAGCTGGATGCCAGGCACATAATAAGCACTCCGTACCTGTTGCCTGTTATAATTGCCGTGTATGTATTATCCCAGCTTCCCCTCTGTCATTACAGACAGCGAAGTGCCAAACGCTCAGGATGTGAATATGTTCCCTGTGACAGACCCACGCGAGAGCAGGCAGTCCCGGGTCGCCCAGCTGCTGGCGTGAACCTCGGCTGTACCACTGTCTAGCTGTGTAACCTTGCTGAGCGAGCTACCTAGCCGTTCCGAACTGTATTTCCACCATCTTCCAGCCTGCTTAGGGCTCTGGATCCTCTTGACGGACAACAGTTCCGTGTCTAACAGCCCGGCCTCGCTGTCGACAGGGCGTACAGGAGTGAGAATACCGACACGGGGCTCAGGCACCCGTCGTTCCCGGGGACAGGAATCGTCGTCAGCCACATGGCACACATTCAACGCCACCCCAAGGAGCTCCTGCTCAGGAAGATTCAGAGCATTATCGTCGGTTTCAGGAGCTCCATGCGAGTCCACTCAGATGAGCTGCTGACACCTCGGTGAGTCCTTTTCAGGGCAGCAGCCCCTTCCCTGGACAGAAGACCACTCAGCTGGGCTTACCGAACTCCCGATGGAAGACCCACTTGGAACCACGGCACCCACACTCTACAATGTTGCACCGTAGAACTGCCCCTTTGCAGACGTTACTAACTTGCAAGACAGTGGCAACTGCAGCTTCGTGAAGCAATAGACTTGCCACACTTTCCAACAGGTTATTTCAGTGGCCTTTCCAGGCAGGAGTCAACAGAGAAGGTCCCTCTGGACACAGCAGACCTCCCTCGAGACCTCGACACCGCATGGTGCGGACAAGCAGCAGGCGACACTGCCCGCACAGCACCGGCTACCATCGCAGCGCGTTTCTGTCCCGGGCGTTCCCTGTGTGCTCAGCACCAGCGGGCTGGTCATTTCACACGCGCATCTCTCCGGGCTCACGGAAGCGCTTTGAGATAAGCCGTGTTTTCCTCCCTTCACAAAGGAAGACAGAGAGGCGGAGGGAAGTTAAACAACCTGCAGTCCCGAGGGCTCAGCAGGGGCATATCCTGGATTCAGGTGGAATCCCCGTCTGCCTCCAAGCCGACTTCCCAGGCTGTTACCCCCAAGGCGCTGCGCGCTGGTTAGTGGAGTTTACACGCTTCTGGATCCAGATTAAGACTTTGAGCTGTCAGCAGGAGGACCAGCTTCCCGAGGAAGGTTTCTGAAAGGCTAATGGAGAGGAAGCCAGTGGAAACCTGAGGCGCCGGAGGCTCGAAGGGAGAGGCAGCCAACGTGAACTTGGCTCCATCCCTCCACCCGG